CTCATTCATCTTCACATTGTGGTGTGTTTTTATTTCTTAGCTTTTCACATGGTTTTAATTACTTATGGCATTTTGTGTACTTTGTAGACTTTGTCAGCGGAAGCAAACCATGTTGCCTTATTTAGTGTCGGAGAACCGCAGCCTTCTTTACAACGCCCACGATGGGGCTAAAGCGCCACCTGCTGTAAAACGAATGAAATGATTAGATCATTTCACTGTTCGAGAGTCAAAGATTCGAATCAATAAAAAGAGTCGGTCTTCCCATCACTAAAACTGAACGGTGCCAAAAGACAAACAACTTTCAACGTAAATGACGTTTTTATTTATAATTATTAGAAAAAAAGTGGTTAAACACTTCAACAACCAATCAACAAACAAAGACTACCTGTATTGACCAATCAGATGGAGGAAGGGCGGGTCATACGGTCCTGGTGTTGTGAACGGAAGCTGCAGACGGACAAACTAGATATTTCGATTTCTCGGACGAAGACACGACCAACAGGAGGGAGAGTGAATTAAAAAAACAAAGCAAAAGAACAACACTTTCTAATCGAATACAAACTACATTTCGAACAAAAACCACATTCTGTAACAGAAAAACAAACCAACCGTGGCTTAACAAAAAGCGGACTTGGACAAACGTGCTCAAAGTCGGTGGTGTCGAGGCGGAAGAGGTTTGTTGTTTGATTTTACACACGTGCACGAGCACGTACACGGCTGGGGGTTTTTTTGTTCCCCAAAAGGACAAAAACGTCGGTCATTTTGTTTTGTTAAAGAGACACCTAGAGGACTAACAGTCAACTGTAGTTTTGAATAGAGACGCGGGGACACGTCGGGGTCTTCTGTTTTTTCAGTCGGAGTTTCAACAGTGTCCGTTTAGTCCAAGAAGAAACGACGACAAACGATCGGAGATCCGGAAACAAATGACCAGGACTCTAGAGGGCAGTGTTTGAACGACGAGGCAGGAGCAGACCGGACTGGTCCAAACAGAACCAGGTGAGCAGCTTTATTCAGTCTTTCTCATTGTTTTTCCCTCCCTGGTTAGTCTTCTAGTGACAAGCAGTACCGGGGGTTCTCAAACTGTGGTCTGCATACCTCCGGTGGAACATATTCTCCCTTATTTAACCATTGGATCTCAGACTATCAATCGAGTAGAGAGTATGGTTTATTTACGAATATTTTTTTTTTTCTGTGTGATTTTTACCAGGATGGGGAACAGCAGCAGTGACAGGACCAGTGGGGGGCAGCCTGGAGGCAAAGAAGCCCGCTCCAACATCCTGATCGACAGCAGTGAGGACGCAGATCTGTTCCAGAGGGAGGACTCGAAGGTGTCTGCTCCGTCATTTAAACTTGTTTATGGAAAATGTTGTTACGCAGATGTCAAAATGTGTCATTTTATTAGGTTAGTATCAATGAAATACATTTTTTAATTAAAAAATAATAAATAATACGATTCGCATCAGTTGAAGTAAAAAATCAAGGTGTAAGGAGTAGACTGAGTTACTGGTCATACCATGACACTACACACTGCAGTACAGTAGGTGGCGGTATACGCCTAAGAACATTGGCTGTGTAAAACGTTGAAGTGAAACAGCGACCCCAACTGTTCTGTCCAGGCTCCGCAGGAGATCCAGGAGTTCCTGGCCTGGCAGCAGGACCTGGAGAGCGACAGCAAGAGTCCAACGCAGGCTCGCCCGACCGTCTTCAGATGGACAGGGGGCGCTAAAGAAGTCTTTGTGTCAGGCTCTTTTAACAACTGGGCCACCAAAATCCCCCTCAACAGAAGGTACGGCCCACGGAACGCACAACGTCACACGGGTTGGAACCCAGTGTTGTGATGATTGTACGTTTGTTTTTTTGCAGCCGGAACAACTTTGTTGCCATAGTGGACCTGCCAGAGGGGGAGCACCAGTACAAGTTCTGTGTGGACGGTCAGTGGACTCTGGATCCCACTGGGGTGGGTAAACCACGTTGTTTACTTTTCATACCCCTTCCCCCATGCCCTCCCATATGAACCACTGTCACCCATGTGTTTACACCCCCTCAGGCCGTGATGACGTCTAAAACTGGAACTGTCAACAACGTCATCCAGGTGAGGAGAACGGACTTTGAAGTGTTCGATGCCCTCAAAGTGGACTCGCAGGACTCAGCTGACCTCTCAGGTAGGAGCACCCTCTACTGGTTCTTCAAGAAATGATTATTAGAACCACTGTTAGATAGTTTTATTAAGGTTAAGGTGTGTTGGAGGTGTGGTGGAGGAGTGGTTTGTACCATGGCCTTACATCAAGATGATCACAGTTCAATTCTCTTGAACTTTCTGTGAGAATAGGTCTGGGTCACACAATGAAATATCGCAACATTTTCTTTCACGATATCATCTCTATATATTGTCATGGCTATAGTATTGCAATATATCACAATATATGTTGTGCACAGCAAATACAGTAAACCGGTTTTAACTAGGGATGTCTGATATTATCGCCCCGATATTAGCATAATTACGTAGTATTAGGCCAAATTTGCTGGAATCGCTTGTAGGGTCCTAAGATGTTTACAATGATTTTGGAGGCAAACAGCGACATATATCGGTATCGGTTGATATCGGATATAAGTGTTTGAATAATATCGGACATCCCTACTTATTAACGTATAACGACTGAAGTGCTAACTTGTCGTGTCCTGTCATTGGTGCCACTCAGACCTGTCCAGCTCTCCTCCGGGCCCCTACCAACAGGACGGGTACGTGGTCAAATCGGAGGACAAACTCAAACACCCCCCCATCCTGCCCCCGCACCTGCTGCAGGTGCTGCTCAACAAGGACACGGGTATCTCTGTAAGTACACACCGGACACCGGACTCCGGGTCCGATCCACCATGAAACCAGTTCAAACCAGTTACACGCTCTAACTTCCTGCTGCTCCGTTAGTGTGACCCCACGCTGCTCCCGGAGCCCAACCACGTCATGTTGAACCACCTGTACGCCCTGTCTATCAAGGTAACGCGCTGTCCGTCACCACGCTCATCCGTCACCACGCTCATCCGTCGACCTAACTTGATAAATATGTCCAAATGTTTTTCCCAGGACGGCGTGATGGTTCTCAGCGCGACGCACCGATACAAGAAGAAGTACGTGACCACGCTGCTGTACAAACCCATCTGACGACCCGGTGACCTTTGACCTGTGGAGCTTTCTGAGGAGACAACTGAACGTGAAAGTGAAGCTAACGAATTGTTTTATTTTTAAAAAAAATCTTAATCGTAATTGAAGCTGTCGTAGTTTTAAAATTCCCGTATGTTTCCGTTGCTGTACTCGTATGGTTTGGACCAATGAGCTGTGAGAAAATCGTCAGGTGATCTGTGGAACAATATCCATTTTCACTTAATTTTATTTTATTTGTCGCAAATGATTCTTTTTCGCCCGTCTGTGCCCCAGTGACAGGCAGAACAATTAAATTCTCTTCCACCAGGGGGCAGCAGAAGGCTATTAAAAATGGAGACTCGGAGCTGGTAAAAAAGATTTTCGTGTTCCTTTCTTTAATTCCTGTCAGTATATCAGCTCTGTGTTCAACTAAACAGGACTTTGCAATAAAGATGATTTCAAGTGTACGTATTTGAGTATTACTTTCTCAAACCAGGTGTTAGCAACAACATCAACGGTACCTTCAACATTGGTTACGGAAGAAGACAAATGTTTGAGATTCGAACTGGTTTATTAGTCAGTACAGGGACAGTCATTGACCGCAGTGGACGTCTGGGTCCAGGTTCTTGTTCTCTGGGTTGTACGTGTTCCGGGCGAAGCAGTGAGCCGCCACGCGGTCACACTCGCACACAGCAGCCTGGCACTGGTCGTTGGTCGCTGTAGGAACGAGATGAGACCGACATGTGATGCAGATGGTACTAGGAGGGGGGGGTGACCCTCCCACACCTTGGCCCCAGTGTCCCTACATAAGGCACAACATTGGAGTAATGTTCTGTGTGTGCTCCAGCTAACGGTGCATTCAAGTTGCACACGAATGTCGGAATTTCCAGCGTTAAATGTCATTCTTTCTTATTTAGACATAAAAAAAATCCAAGTATAAAAACATAAAATACTTTAATATATATAAAACTATAGGCATATATATGTGTGTATGTGTATATATGTGTGTTGTTATATTATATTATAGAGTGGTTTTGCTGACAGTCTGCCCCCTGCAGGTTGTTGTCACTCAGATACATTTTTTAAATGTTTTTAAACGAACTGCAAAAAAATAATAAATGTCACAATCTTGATTTTGTTCTTGCTGATGCAACAACGCCACCTAATGGTACTTCTTCAATCAAATCTGATTCCTTTTGAGATCGAAGAGTCCCTTAGTAATCTAGTGAACTTCAGAGGTCAGAGTTCAGAGGTCAGAGTAAACCCAGGCCACTCAGTCCTGAATCAGGGAAAAAAAACTGGTCGGAAGTAGGAATTAGCATAAATCGAAAAAAAAGTGAGCTCCTCAGTCTTACCCGAACACGCCACCTGCCGGTTGGAGCAGGTGAAGTCGTAGTCGATGACGTAGGGAAGGTCGGCGACCCCCGAGCACCCGGGTATCTTCCTGCTGGCTTCGTAGCAGTGGTCGTGGAGTTTACAGCACCTGTGGAGAAAGTCACCGTCTGTGAGGGACCGACCTCTGACCTCCAGAGCCCCCCCCACGGAGACACCTACTGGTCCAAGTCGTCCCGAGGAGTCCCCTGTCCACCGAAGCCACACCAGCAGCCGTAGTTGTTGTACCTCAGCGGGTTGACGCCCGGCTGGGCGCACACGATCATCTTCCCAAAGTGCCACATGGCTTTGGGCGGCAGGGCGCCACATGCCAGGCAGGCTGGGAGGAGACGGAGAAGAAGAGTGAGAGGTCAGAGGTCACATACACAAACACACGTGTCACGGTGACGATGTTCTGTCAGTGCGGTGCGGTGGTTCAGCGGCACCTGTGAGCAGCAGCAGCAGAGGTGTCGTCAGAGTCATGACTTCAGGCAGAGAAACCCACTGAAGCCCACTGCTGGGCTGCAGCCCACTCTTATAGCAGTGACGTGGGACAAAAGTGGAGATAAGAGGGAAAAGAAAGCTGCTGAAACCAAAGGACGCGGAACATCATGTACGCCGCCCGACCGCCCCCCGACATCACTGCGTTTTCATTGAGCTCCTAGTGACACTTGTTAGACTGGAGACAGTTTTTTTGGGTTTTTTTTAAAAAGCTTGTTAGTACTTTCTAACAGTTTTACTGAGTGACAGCCTGAGAAGTTTCCACTTAAACCACGTGTGGCAGCGACGAGCTTCGGTCACCGCAGTGATAAGAAGAACAAACTCGCACACTGCATACACAACGTTACTGCAGTAAAACACACAGCTGTTGGTTGTATGAATGTAGACCCAAAAAAAGAACGTACTTCCTACATCTTCTTCTGATACCGATTTACTCAGAACTGACTCCGGAGCTTGTTTAGTTTAACACGACAACAATAAACTAACAAGAATTGAAGAAAGTCACGGAAAAATCTCCTTTAAAAGATATTTTTCTCTCTATCTTTTTAATTTTTTTAGCCATTTGGTGCTACCTAGTGGGAAAGGATTAAGTGTCACATGGAGCAAAGGCAAATTATTTTCAGTGAATGAAATAATAATATGAGATGAAACTTGGTTATTTCCCAGGGTGCACCTGGAGAGCTCTCATGACACACAAATATATATAAATATATATTTTACCAGAATACCAGAATATACAGTATATGTATATATATACATACACATATATAAATAAATAAATAAATAAATATATAAATATATAAACACATATATACATATATATAAATATACATACACATATATAAATATATCTATATATTTATATGTGTGTATATATATACATATATACATATACAAATATAAATATATATATACATACACATATATAAATATATATACATAAATAAATATACATATACAGTACATGTATATAAATATATAAATATATATGTACATGGCAATTTCTGGTAAAAATATTTTTTTGGAAAAATACAGTCAAACATGTATTCAGTGGTCACTGATCAGAGTTGGTAAATATTAGTTAATAGACCTTGGTTGATGAGTTAGTTCACTCTCTACTTTTTTTCCATCACTGTTCCCAAATTTGGAAAAAAGGTAGAATTTAGACCTCCCTAAGAAGAACTTTCCGGAACACAGCTGAGTAAATACTGGCCACTTATCAGAGTTCCCAAGACTTTCCACCACAGGCCAACAATACTGCAGTTTTCACCACAAAGTACTGTGTAGAGGTGAGGGTTCCGGTGGTCGTTTGGACGACCAAACAAACAGGACCGTTGTTGGCGGTGGTTGTTGGCGTGTTGCCGCGATCACGTTTGGAGTCACAGGTGTTTATTTTTAGGTGAAGCAAACATCTGGAGATTGAGGGACTTGTGATAATTGGTCAACAACGACTCCTGCCAAGGTCTTCGGTCCATATAAGCCCCAGGTTCTCCAGCCCACATTGTACTCGTCGACAACATGCATCTGACTCACTCGCTGTTCATCCTTTTCCTCAGCCTCCCGGCCCGTACGTATACCGGGACACCGCCCTGCATCTTTACCATTTCCTGGACCGGTCTGATCCTTGACTTTTTGCTTCACTTGTGTCTTTACAGTGCTGGGTTTGAGAGCTGTGTGGCAGTTCAGGTCCATGATCCTCTGCACCGTCCCCGACAGCTGGCCCGTCCTGGAATACGCCGACTACGGCTGCTACTGTGGACTGGGTGGTTCTGGAACCCCAGTGGACGAACTGGACAGGTGAGCGGGCGGAGGAGCGGGAGGGACAGGGGGGGAAAGATGCGAATTGTGCAAAGCAATGCATCAACTGTGTATTTAGCACCACCTACAGGCCACGGAAGGGGCGCTACATGCTAATTGCTAACATTAAAACCAAACATTTTTCATTGATTGTGTCAAAACTTGCCAATATATATATATATATATATATATATATATATATATTTGGCCTTCGCGGGCGAAACACGACACGGACCACGGCTTTAAACTTGACGCTCCTGCCCCCTCTTGGTTGTCTTTGTCTGCAGATGTTGTGAGGTGCACGACCGCTGCTACTCCGAGGCCATGCAGCACGATGAGTGCTGGCCAATCCTGGACAACCCCTACACCGAGCTGTACAGCTACAAGTGTGACAAGTCCACGAAGACCGTCACCTGTCAGAGTGAGTGTCACGCTACTGTGTTACAGTTGCTAACCATCACAACCGCTAACTAACCACGCGTCTCTGTTTTTTTCTTCTTCTCGTCTTCAGATGACAACGATCCCTGTGAGAAGTTCATCTGTGAGTGTGACAGGAAGGCGGCCTACTGCTTCGCATCGGCTGGTTACGACGAAGCCAACGCCCATCTGCCCAGCGACCGGTGCAAATAGGCCCGCCTCTGCCCGGCAACAGTTCAAATAAAAACCCAAAAAAAAAAAATAAAATTAAAATAAATATATAAAGATAATCTCGTTCCAACGATGTTTGTTCTATTTCTTTTACTGCTCTCTCCGATTTACGTGATGAAACACAAAAAAAACATACACGTTTTCTTTTTAGTCTGATGGTTTCGTTCTTTGTCACCTTTATTAGTGATGAGTTTCAACATGTTTTTATTTTTTTTAAAAAAACCTCCTCACATGGTTTGGTGACCTTATTATATACTTCGAAAAGTTTTTAATATTTGCAAGCGTCGAGGAAAAATGGCTTTCATGTCTTTGCAGTTCCCGGTCCCACCACTGAAGGCAGTAAATGCGATCTGTCAGTCCTTTTAGAGCGTACTTCCGGTAGCTCAGTAAGGCAGAAGTGAAAATGGCGGCTCTCGGACGTATTGCTAACTCTTTGCTGAGGTCTTCTACCACTCAGATCCGGCGTCGTATTTCCGCCTCTGCAAGTCATGACGACCAAAGTAATTATAAAAAACCCTGAAAAACTCAGACGCTATTTATTTTCTTCGTATCTTGGTTTAACAGTTAATTATTTAACAGTGACCTTGCGGCGCTAGTGTTAGCTCTGTTAGCACTAGCGGTAGCTTCGACCTAACTAATATAAGAATACGCTGCTGTAACTTTTTCAGCTTATTCAGCACTAGTACGTTCGTGTCTCGGCATATAACTCCAACCAGTCGCGTATAAATGTTTGAATTAAATCGGTATAAGTCGTGTTAATGTATAGAGTATAGAGAATAAACAATATGAGCTGTTTTTGTGAACCATAAGCAGAACAACACGGCAACATAGCGGCTAATGCAGTCACTTAAGGTCGCGGTGAAATGCAGTTGTACTTTTTTTATTTTGCCACAGAATATGATGATATACATTTAATAAATGTCCTTTTTAAAATAATATATACATAGGCTGACAACAACATAGAACGTTGTAGCTGTTTGTTTAATCTGCTAAACTCTACTAAAAACCTGGTGAAAGTCTTCAGTCGCTTTGCTAATTTAGCTACAGCGTCGTAGACTTTGACTAAAAGCGAGTTTTTAGCTGAAAATGTTCACGTAATATTTGAGTCTGGTCCAGTGACGGACAGCTGACCTGTTTTGTCCACTTGTTTTTTGCTATTACGTCACAACTGAACCAGTGTTGTTCCTCCAGTGACCTGTTATTTCCGTTATCACTGTTTTTTTTTCACGACATAAATTCTACAAATAATTTACCTTAATATACATAATTTTAACTTAATTTTTCCCACATTGAATTAAGCAGCATTATTTATAACAATTATTAAATATTACTATATATATACTTAATAAAATCTGCTTAATCGATTTAATATTATTTTTTGCATTTCTTTTTTTTTCTTTTCTGTCATCTTTCTCTTGCAGCTAACAAATGGAAGTTGCTCAGTTACTTTGTCGCACTCCCTGGTGTGGCTGTGTGCATGCTCAACGTGTACCTGAAGCACCAGGAGC